AAGGTTGATGGCTAAAATTTAAATCAAAGTTTTGTTCACTGATGTATCCTGCATGATTAGATCAGTGCTTGATGAATGAATGGCTCTACTCACACGACAGACAGCCCCTGCTTATAGATACCTGGGTGCTTCACACAGGTATCCAAACTCCAGTCCAGTTCCAGTGTCCTTTCCCTACCTCTTCCATTCTCTCTCTCTTGCCCCTCATCATAGCCTGTCCACACTAAAAAATCAACTAAATATTTATTATAACCCTTTTCCAAACGATGGCATTCCTTCTCCCTATCTTTGATAACCTGTCCTGATTCTGAACTCCACCCCTGCAAAGGGGAAATGAGTTTGCATGTTTAAGATGAAGAAAAGGAGAAATGCAAGTTTGTTCTCTATCAGAATTTTTGTTATGGGACAAACAAATTATCTGCCTGTGAAATTGGCCTGCCCACCTCTGGACTCAAAGTTTCCAGGAGGTCTTAGGGAGCATGGGCCCTATTTATGGGCATTTTATGGATTAGAAGAAATGGAAAAGCTTTATTCCATAAGCAATAGAAATTGGCCCAACATCGGCTCGGTTGATGTATTATGGGTACATTACAGAATAGTACAGAATTGAGGAGCAGGAGTAGAGAGGAAGCATCATTTCTCTGCTCTGTCACTCATTCATTCAAAATGCATTCATTGTACAATGACTCCATACTAGGCACAGTTGCTAGAAGTTGGGGATGCACTGGTAACAGAAAGACAAGAACTCACAGGTTGCCAGGGAACTTAGATATGTCTTACTCAAGTCACAATAGCCAGAGGAGTCACAATAGCCAAAGCCTGTGAATTATTCCAAACAAATCTCAATAGAAGCCTGGGATACTTGGCTGCTAAATTAGCCTGATATAATCAAAATTGTGTTAACTTCTGGAGACATGAAACCTGATCTCAGAAAAAGAATTAAGAATGATATATGAAGAAGTTTTCTAATCAAATATGAGAGTAAGAGTGCATTTAAAAAAATTCAGCTTTAGTGCTGCAGACATGAACTTATATCTAGGAAAAATACAAAGACTACCATAAGACAAACAATAAATTGGAAGAAAGTATTTGCAACATATATATTAGGCAAAGAGTAGTGTATATTGTATGCATAATACATTATATATAAAGAGTTCCTACAGACTTATAAACTATGATGTGAAATTACAATACAAAAACAGGCCAATGTTATTGTATCAGTTTCCAGCAAGAAACAATTTCTCTCTCAAAGGATTTCAGTGAAGAAAAATTTAGTGAAAGGGCTATTTACAGTTGTATGCAGAACAGAGAGGATGAGAAAATAACAAGTAGCCATTATCATCCCTAGGTCTGGGGGCATAGGGAGAAGGAACGGTTTACCAGAGCCTAGGGAGAACTGGCATCCTGGGTGAGGGGACTTCCCTCCGGAATCTGAGCTTGATTGTTGTAGCCCTTGCAAGTCAGCCTGCACAGTCCAGAGCAGGGCATAGATGCGCCAAGACAGTTATAAATAGGCACACAACTGAAATTGTAAATAGGAATTATGGCATAGTTTAAAAATAAATGTCTAATAAATGCTTGATTTATTTAAAACTCCTCAACCTCACTAATAAGCAATGACATCTAATTTTGGAAGTAAAACRCTATATCCTCACATTAGACAGGCAAAACTGATGAAGTTAGTAAACCACTTAGCACTGTGGAGAAAGAGAAGTAGAAGCACTCTTACGTTTTTGGTAGTGTCTAGAGAACAATTTGCCATTAACTTTCCATTTTTGAAAAGACTCTTGGACCAGCATCTAGAAGCGACTTACTCCACTGAGCAAAAATRGAGTTGAATTACTGGAATTGACTGTTGTTTTTAGAACACTCCTGCCCTCCTAGAGTCTGTCATTCATGAGGGAAGAAGGCAAACTTTTCCTGCCCATTGGTCATATGTATGTCCCAAAGATGTAGGTCAACTAATACTTATGGAGTACCCACTATGTGCCAAAGTCTTCATCAGGCCCCAAGGACAGAAACAGAATGAGCCCTGGCCCCTCTCTTTGAGGGTTTATATGTGATGAGGTGATTATAGAAACAGAAAAATAATATAAAGTGGTAAAAAGGAGGAAATAAGCCACAATCACACAACAATATGGGGGCAAAGAGGAGAGGGCACATCATCTAGCCATGAGGTTCAGGGGGATGGTCTTAGAGAAGCTAACATTTTGAGTTTGGGGAGGGACACAGGAGTTAGCCAGGTGTTAAGGAGAAAAGGCATGACCTGTGGAGGAAGTAGCATGGGCAAAGCCTGAAAGCAGAGGCAGATTGGTATGTCGTGGGGACAAAACCAGCCCGGTGGAGACTGCCATTTCTGTGAGGGAGGGTAGCAGCAGCTGGACTTAGCCTGTGGCCTGAAACAACTGAGAAGCTCAGACAGAAGGTACAAAATCTTTTTTTTTTAAGAGAGAGAATTTTWAAATATTTATTATTTTATTTTTATGTGGTGCTGAGTATCAAACCCAGTGCCCCACGCAAGCCAGGCGAGCGCACTACCGCTTGAGCCACATCCCCAGCCCACAAAATAATTTTTAAAGAAACTGGAATGTACTGTGGTCCTTGAGAGACAAAGAAAAGTGAGGAGTTATAAGATTACTATTTAATTATTACTTTGAGACATCCAGGTCTAGGTGCAGAGGTGGGAAACCCATGCAGACTCCAACAGTCTCCCTGAGTAGAGCAGACAGCTAAGTCCTGGGAGGCTAAGGGGGAAAGATTCCATTGCCAACTAGAAATTAGAAATCACTGCTGAAAGAAAGTGAAAAATCRAATAATGCAGAGCTATACCCTATTTAAGGGTTGGAAGACTCCATATTGTTAAAATATCAATAATCCCCAAATTGATCTAGAGATTTAATGTGATCCCAAACAAAATTCCTATAGATGAGGATCCCAGTAGGAAATGGTAAGTTGATTCTGAAATTCACAAAGATCAAGTCACCTCATTTCAAGGCTTACTATAAAGTCACAGTAATCAGCTTTGGTATTGGCATTAAGATAGACAATGGAATAGAATAAAGTACAGAAATAAGCCTGTATATAAATAAACAATTGATTTTTTTAAAAACAAACGTGGAAAGGAGGTTCTGTGGAGAAAGCTAGTCTTTGAATAAGTGGTACTGAAACAAGTGGATATATTGGATATGCACATGCCAAAAAGGGGGRAATTTGATCTATAGTCTAACCACATAAAATTAACTCAAAATGGATCATAAGCCTACATGTAATATCTGAAGCTAYAAAACTTCTACAAAATATAAATAGCTATGATCTTGGGTTATACAAAGTTTTTTTTTTTTTTTTTTGGCAGGGGGGGGGATACCAAAAGCATGATAAATTAGCTTTTATCAAAATTAAAAAAGTCTGTGTTTTTGAATTTTCCTGTTGATAGAACAAAAAGATATTTGTAGAATTTTATATCTTATGAAGAATTTCTATCCAGATTATTTAAAAAGGGATTAACTATTGATAAATACAATATGAATGCATAGCAAAATAATTATGTTGAGTTAAAGAATTAAGATAAAAATAATAAATATTAGACAAATCTTTTATTTAAAAATTCTATAAAGGGCAAACTAAATCTATAGTGGCAGCTAGCAGATAACTGTTTTCTTGGGAAGATGAGGTTGGAAAGGCCTGGGAGGGAGAGATTACAAAGGCATATGAATGAATATACTTTGGAGAGTGATAGATGTTTTCTCTAATATGATAGTSATGATAGTTTCCAAGATGTATATGCAAAAAATTATCAAACAGTGTATTTTAAATAAGAATTGCTTATTATATATTAGTTATGCTTTAAGAAAACTATTAAAATCTGTCCTAGCAAAATGGTTGGAGAGGTAGGTAAAGGCCGAGTTGTGCAGGCCAGTGCAGGCCAGTGCAGGCTAGGTTGGGCAGGCTTCCCTCCTTTCCTAGAGGTCACCTCAGGGTTCCTTCATCTTTTACATAGTGCTGTATTGAAGAGTTTCCATAGTGGTCAGATCAGGTTTTGTGCAGCCTCTTTGGGCAGTTCTGTAGAGGATGAATTTGAAGGTGGCAAGACTTGAAGAACAGTGCCTGTTAGGAGGCCATGGTGATATGTAACATGAGACAGAACAGGAAGACCTGAAGCAGGACAAGGGCAATAAGCATGGAAAGATGGAATGCATTGGATGTTAGAGAAAAAAGGATGAAGACAAGTGGATCCTGGTTACTGAGGGCACAGAATGTGGTGGGGACAAAGAGTCTAGCATTACTCTAGGTCCTGGCCATAATATGGGGAGAGGAGAAGAGGAGGAGAACAGSCTTAGCAGAAAAGACAAGATCTTACTTTTGGACAGGTGGAATCTGATGCCCCTGTGTRTCATCTAGCTGGATCTGCCCTGTAGGCAGTTCAGGAGAAAGGTCAGAATTTGGGAGTCATCAGCATAGAGCTAGAGAAAATAGATGACATTAAGGAGAATATGAAAACYTCAGGGGGAGGAAGAGAGCTCTGGGGAGTGACAGGGCTCAGGGGGCACAAGCTGGAGGAAGATCCCTCATTGACTTAGAAAGAAAGAAGGAGTCAAAGGAATAAGGGGCTTGAAGAAGTAAATGGCCAAGCCTCCTTTTTATTGAATGAAATGTTTATTAGTGTTTTTTGTTTTTGTTTTTTTGRTTTTTATTGCTAAGTAAAAATGTACCACCAACTTATAGGCTTAATATAATAACATATGTTTATCTCATGGTTCAGTTCTTTGCTTCACTGATCAAGCGGAGTGTAACTATGCAATCAAGGTCTTCCTGATCCGCATTCTCATCTGGGGACTTGATTAGGGGAAAATTCCGCTTCCAAGTTCATGCAGAATATTTTTGTCAGAATTCATTTGCCTGCAATTGCACAACTGAGATTCCTGRCTTTTTACTGGCTGTCAGCTGGAGGTTTCTCTCCTTTCCCAGAGGCAACCCCAGGGTTCCATGTGGCCCTGTGGTCACCACAGGCAGCTCACTACACAACCATTACTTCAAGATCAGCAGGAGGGTCTCACTCCTGTCTGCTAAGGTGGATTCTTATATAATTCATTGCAATCAAGAGAGTGGCACCCCACCACCTTGGCCATAGTTTGTTGGCCAAAACCAARTCCCAGGCTTTGCAAGTACTCAAAGGGAGGGTGTTATACAAGTGCATCCTACATGGGGTCACCTCTGAGCATGGMTGCTCAGAAGTTTTCAGGGTTTGAGGAAGTGAGACCAGTTCAGAGATAGTGATAATGATTCAGGAAAAAGGTATTGGTGCTTGAGCAGGGATAATGGCTGTAGATAAGGTGATGGGTTTGACAAGAAGAGAACTTCATAGTCTCTGTTATTATTGGCGTGTTTGAGGGGAGGGGTAAGTTTAGGGGTGTTATAAGGGCAGATGATGGAGCATCTTGTAATGATATCTGGCAAGAAACATGGTAAATGACTTGAATTATGAGGGTTTACTTGATTAAGATAAAGAGTTGAACATTACTGACATCTCTGTTTTATTATCAGGCAAAGGAATCGACTGGTCCTCTCTTCATTCCCACAAACGCGTATCATGGAATAAACAGAAGAGTGAGGAGCACCATACCATGCTACTGGTATAAGTCTTTCTATTTTATTTTTAATGATATCTACAGAAAACCAGTGCTAGCACTCTATGCTGTTTGGATGGCCAGGGTGCAGAGGGAGAAATCTAGTAATCTCTCCCTCCCCCAGAACATCTGCCCTCCATGATGGGAGTAGCTGGAAGAACACCTCCTAAACCGTGGCAGATATAGGAGAGTGCACGGGGCTGGGCTGATGGCTGAAACCAAAGAAGCCCCAAACCTGTTGTCAGAGCAGCTGCAGGAGCCATAAATTGCTTGTCCAAGCAGGCCAGTGACTGGTGATGAGGGGGGAGTGAAACAGGAGCAGCCCCAGTCCGTACATTTTCCTTTATCTTCTTCATCCAGCTCAGAGCTGGAGGATTCCAGGTTTTTTTTTTCTGGGGACAAACATCCCTGGCTATTTTTTTCCCTTGGATTTCCTTAGAGTGGGGCAGCTTTTCTTAGGGAGGGTGACTCTACCATTGGACTAGCATCCCTTCCCAAGAGAGCACTGAGGAACCTCTTTCTCCAAAGGCCTTCCCTGGGCTTATCATGTAGATCTTTATGGACTTAGAAATGTCTTTTTGCAGATGAGGAAAAGCAAACCTGTGAACTTKCCTCTGCAAGTCAAGTGGGGTCCTCTGCCACCAACCTCTAAGACAGAACATTATCTGTGCATAAAATGTGTGTTTTTGTGTGRGTGGTGTGTGTATGTGTTCAGAAGGGGTAGTTAGTAACAAATTCAAATTTTAACAAGGGCTTTAGTGTACTTGGTGCTACAGAAGAGTTTAAATAAAAGAGGCATCTCAAAACTCAGACTGCTYATTAGAACTGTAATAAGAGCCGTAATCTTACATCTTATGTAATTCCCTCCCTTCCCCTTCTTTCTTCCTCCCTCCCTCCAATATCCTTTAGTGAATAGTTCCTATATGCCTACTGTTATACTAGATGCTGTAGGTATTGAAATGAATTAGTTATTGGCTGTCCTTGAAGAACTGTCAATTCTTAGAGAGCTTCCCCCACAGTCAGCAGCAGGCTTGTTTTGTAGACTAATCACCAATAACCAGTGGCATATTACCTTGGTGCCATAGCAGACCCATGCTCTTTGTGGTCTGAATTTGGAGTTATTTCCCAGCTCTGCTCTTGGATTTGAGTTGATCCATCCATACTATCATCTAGTCTCCTGGTCAATCATTTTTGGACAATCTTTTTAAGGACAATCTTTTTTCCCCAGTGACTGACCCCATTTGAGGGCACAATCTATCACTTTGGATGGCAGCAAAGACAACCAGAATGCAGCTTTGGGAACTTGGAAGTAATGAGTGCAAAGTCTGAGCAATGCACCAGGATTATGCCACTCATTGATAATCCATTTCTCTCTTTCTTGGATCCTCTCCATTGTCATATAAGAATGACCCAAGATCCCCATTAAAACAACCACCAGACCTACCAGAGCAAAACTTCTGGACAAAATTATCTATGGTCTTTTTCTGCATTTTCATCAGTTTTTCCTCTCCTCTTCTTGACAGTTGGGCTTCTATTCTCTCTGTAGTAAAATTGCTTTTGCAAGGTCACTAGTGATTTTCACATTGCCAAATCCAACTGTTTTCTAGAACTATTTTYGCATCTCAGCAGTGTTCAAGTCACTCATTGCATTTTCTCAGTGATTTGTCTTAGTTATTTCTCTTGCTTGGCCTGTAAATACTAGAGTGCCCAGGTAACCTCAAACTCTGCTCTGTTATGATCTCTCCCTAGGTGATCTATATAGTTCCAAAGCTTAACATAGTATCCATATGCAGACAATTCCAGGTTTAACTCTCCCCAGTCTTTCTCTTCATTATCCAGTTTCCATCTTGATCACTCTGTTTGAAAGTCTGAAAAAACCTCAAAATTAACATAGCCAATACTAACTTTATTCTCACCTCCACTTTAYGTTCTTTTCCCATTCTTCCACATTTCCGAGTATAAAACTTGATCATTGAGGCCCCAAATCCAGGTTGCTCTCATCTTTGACTTCTCATTTTCTCACATCCAGTCTTTCAGCAAGTCGTTCAAAGTATATTGCATATCTATCTCCTCCTGTCCAGTAACACTTAATTCCAAACCATCATTTCTTGTCCGATTTATAACCACTTTTGCTTCCCTTCAATCAGCTTGTAGCTAATACTAGTTTTAACATCATATATCAGATAATTTTACATCATGATTTAAAAACTTCTAATAGAGTTCCATTTTATTTAAAATAAAATCTTAACACCTTTACCATGACCTCTATAAATTACATGGGTCCTGCAGCTTCTCTTGTGTCAACACCTGCACTTTTGTTTCCCTGCTCTGCTCCAGCCACACTGGCCTCCCTTCCATCCCATAGATACTGCAGCTCCTGCCCACTTTGGTCCCTCTATACTTATCCCTTATCCCCACACGGCCATCTCCTGCCTGACATTCCAGCCTCTGGACACACTACTGCTTCAGGATGGCCTTCCCTGAACATCTGGGGATGCTAGGCAGCCTTATCACCCCCCTTGCATCATCATACCTACTTTTATCATTCTGTTTCTCATTATCTGAGATTGTCTTGCTCACTTATCACTTACTGTGTGTTGCCTGTTTTCCCAAGAGGGATGCACCTTGGTGGGAACACAGACCTTGACTATCTTATCTAACACTCACTTCCCAGTGTCTGCAACCCATCCCCAGAGCACATGGTGGTTGTTCATAAGTCACCTTTCTACTCATGAACCCTCCTTCTCCATATCTCATGCTGAGTAAAAGACTTGAACTCTTGATGATCTAAAGGTCCTACGTGATCTGCAACCTCTTCTCTATCTCCAATCACCCTCTCTGAGCTCATCTTTCCTTCTCACTCCAGTCACACTGGCCTGCTTTTTAAATGATGAGCATACCAAGCAGGCTCTTGTCTCAGGGTCTTTGCCTTTTTTCTCCCTCTGTTGGGAAATTTCTCAGCTGATATCTTCATGGACTTGCTCCCTCACTCTTCTGTGTCTTTATCTAAGAATTTCTCTGTCACAGATTTTAGTTTCTATCCTAATAATTCCTCTCTTGTAACTTTTATTTTTGTCCTTGACACTTAATACAATCTAAAGTGTTACCTATTTTGCTTACTTTTCTTCTGTATTTTCTGTCTCTGTCACCTGGCTGCAAATTCTCTGAGGGCAGGGATTATTGTCTATTTAACTCACTCCTGGATTTCAGTGCTTCAGCAGTTCCTAGCACACAACAATTCTCAATAAACATTTACTGAATGAGTGAAAAATTAGGGAGAGCCCATTACAAATTTTGGACTCTATTAGAAAGTCATCAAATGATTCTAAGAACAGCATGTCAATTAGCTTTCTGTTGAAAAAAGAACCATTTAGAGATTGGGACAAATGGAGTGAGAGAGTGGACATTGAATGACAGGTTAGGGGGAATCTTGCAAGAAGAGTTTTCAGGAAGAGATGATAATTGCATGCCGAGGGGTGTGGTAGTGAGGTTTTGAAGGGGGTGGATTTGGAAAAGTGAAGAAGCCTAATCTGTAAGACTTGGAGATTGATTAGAAGTGGGGAGTTAAACTGTATCAAGAACAAATCTAAGGTTTCTAGTGTGAGTAACTGTGTGAATGGTTGTTCTATTTCTGGAGACAGAAAACACTAGAAGAGGAAGAGCTTTCAGGCAGAAGATCAAGGGCTCAAAGTCTTTGGACTTGCCTAGGTTCCGATGTCTAAGAGATAGCCAAGTGGAAATTCTGTATTGGCAGTTGGAGATTCAGGTTAGGAGCTCAGATGGTTTGACTCATCGGCACATAGATAGCACATGAAGCCATGGAATTGGATGATAAATATAAACCAGTATCAGGTCACGCCTTTGAGACCAAAACCCACCAAATATTTTTATAGTTCCAACATGGCTATTTCTCTCTGGGAAGATTCATTTGCTATATTGAATGTCATAGTACTCAGTCTTCAAAGTTTCCAATGGGGACCTTGAAGCRTTTCTTCTTCCTGCTGGGCCCTACCTGTGACTCTCTCATCAGGGTTATTCTATACATAACAATCAGCTCTCTCTGTCTGTAGGTTCCTCAAATATGGATTCACCCAACTGTGGATAGAAAATACTCGGAAAAAAAAAAGCTGCATCTGTACCAAATGTGCATAGACTTAATTTTGTTGTCATTTCCCCCTAAATGAGCAATTATTTACATAGAGTTTACATTGTAGTAGGTATTTTAAATAATCTAGAGATGATTTAAAGTATATGAGAGGATATTCATGGGTTATATGCAAATAGTACATCATTTTGTATAAGATACTTGAGCATCCCTGTAGTTTGGTATTCTCAGAGGTTCCTGGGACCCATCTCCCAAGGACACTGAGTGATGACTAATTATTATTATAATGCTTACAATAATAATAATTACTATTATTATTCTGTCTTTAAACTCAGTTCTTTTTCACTTCCACAGAGTCTGCCCCATCAACCACTGGCTGTAAAAAAGAGATGAGGAGATGGTGACAGTCACCAAACTCTGCTGCAGATGAGACTTTTCTTCCCTGGGACTTCTGTATGTATTTGTGCTCAGTGTTGAAGGGTGTACATGAACAATGCAATTCCTTTTTCTTCCTCCGTGCTTTTAAAAATTTTTCTTTTAAAACTGGTTCAATTGATTATCCTGTTAAATTTTATTTAACTTCAAACTTGGTTGGGCTCAGTAACTTGGCATGACTTGCTCTGGTCCCACTCAGATTTCTCAGGAACAGCTGTTGGCCATGGATGAATACCTTGCTTATTCTGGGGTCTTCTATGTGGCTTCTCCAAGCAGCTTTTGACTCCAAAGCACCTGGAAGTACAGTCCGATCTTTTAATTCTTGGGCAGGAGATGGCATACTCTGAGGACAGGCAGCTGCCTCCCTTCAGGAAGAGAGGGAGCAGGTGGGGCAAGAGGGCGCTGTGTCACCAAATCCCTTGCAAATTTTTCCCCTTCCTCAGCAGAGACTGCCAATCAGGCTGAATACCACAGGGAGATATTTTCCACTGTGAACAACTGTCCCTGGGACAGGGAGCTGGGGATCATGTTTCAGGAATCTCCTATTGCCCTTAAGAAGCCACACTGATGGCTGTCAAGTGTGTGCAGGGGATTAGAAGGCTCCCAAGAGAGGTGATGAGTCACGAGGCACTGGAGTGGAAGGCAGAATTCTGGAGGGGTGGCCAATGGAGRGGGTCAGATATTTCTTACATTCACTTCAACTTTTCATGGAAGTAAGTTAACAAAATCATAGTGACTCACACTTTAAAATTAAAATTAATTGAGCACATGATAATATACCCATTAAATTTTTTTTGTAGTTGTGTATGGACAGACTGCCTTTATTTTATTGGTTTATTTTTTATGTGGTGCTAAGGATCGAACCCAGTGTCTCATACATGCTAGGCAAGCGCTCTGCCACTGAGCTACACCCCAGCGCCCCCATCTTTTATTTTTATGGGGGGTGGGTAACTAGGGATTGAACTCAGGGTTACTTTGCCACTGAGCCACATCCCAGTCCTATTTTGTATTTTATTTAGAGGCAGGGTCTCACTGAGTTGCTTAGTGCCTCACTTTTGCTGAGGCTGGTTTTGAATTCATGATCCTCCTGCCTTAGCTTCCTGAGCCACTGGGATTACAGGCATGTGCCACTGTGCCTGGCCATAAGTACATCTTCTTAGTAAAATTTCCAAATAATGTCAAATAAATCTTGCATTTGAGCCACAATACTTACAAAGTGTGTTCATATTTATCTTCTCTTCTACTCTCCAAAAGAAACAGATCCATTGCTTCTTGTCTGACAGAGGAAGAATCCAAAAGACAGTGACTAAGAGAGTACAGAAGTCAAATTAGGATCTTTCCTCCTCTTTGCAGCAATTTCCCGACTACACATAGTGGAGGACAGTCAGTCCCTGAAGGTGGCTCTATCCACAGTTGGATAGAGTAAAAAGAGGTCATTTAGTAAAAGATGTCCTTGACTTTTGCTGTGCATCTGCACATCTTTTAAAGACCCTGGGAAAACAGCACTTGCTAGTAGACTTTTCCAGAGCAATATGGGGAATGGAGAGGGAAAGGGAGAGGGAGGCTGCTTAGAGATGGGAGGTCAGATGGGAAATCTCATCTAATTCCTAATTTGGCTTGATGACCTTACATCACTGCCTGGGATAGCTCCTGATCCTGGCCCAAACCCTTTGTTAAAGTTACCTAATTTATATTAGGCCCCTTTCTTAGATCCCATATCTGGGGGGCTAGGAGCGAGGGAGCAGGAGGGGTGATGGTGCATTTTGTGACCAAAGGGATGGATAGGGATTCCAGGAGGCAGCCAAGTAATTCACAAACACCAAGCCTTGGGGAATTATACACATATTCCATGCCTGAAACTCTTCCTCCTTGTGCCTGTGGCCCATCCCAACTTTGTCAAGGCAAACCAGCCAGGTGACATGGCTCCTCTCCACTTTACTCCCAACCCCTTCCTTTTGAGAACTATTTTATGGGCCTTTGAATTATTTAAGTCAACACTCTGAACTCATTTTGCCAATATTTCACTTGCATGCCCATTTTGTTAGGGGAATTGGGGGCATTGAGGGTGAAACTTAAGGAATGTTTTATCTGAGCCTCACACTCAATTAAAAGAACCAGTTCTTACCTGGATTCCCTCCTCTGGGGTTGGTTGTATACAAGGTAAAGAGCTTTGGTTTCATCACATTCTTCTCTCTGCCCTGATACCTATATTATTAGATTTAACTCTCTAAATTATAAATTATTAGATTTCTCCTGAAATGGAGAMTTGGGGAAAATAGTTCATTCTTAAAGCATGGGGTAAAGTGAGACTCAGGTTTGAAAAAGGAGGCAACGCCAAAGCTGCAAGAGAAATCTCCCACAATGAGCCTCAGAGTTCCATTTATCAAGAGCAGATAGGGAAGGTGGGCCAAGCACTGGGCCTCACCTTGCCCTCAGCCAGCTGTGGGTCTCAGGCAAGTTATGTTCCGTCTCTAGGCCTCTGTTTCCTCATTGTTAAAATGAGTGCCTGAGACTAGCTGATGATATTGACAATAATGATTATGATAATTGGTAGATGGCCATTCTAATATCATCTGATGCAAAAGGCAAGGCCTCCCAGATTAGGAGATCTGTTCTCCTTCTTGACCCAACCCTCTCCATGTTGATGCCTCTTATCTTCTGGGAATTGATGCCTGCTGATGGGTTACCTGGGCATGATGACTTTGCTCAGCCACATCATTCTGCCCCATATGACTGAGAAGAACCCTCTGAGAAGACATAGCAGAGCTGCCTATCCTCACTTCAGCATCCCATGGGAAGAGTCCTGTTCACAGATACAATGGTGCTGCTGTCCACATCTCAGGAGGTCTGTAAGCTCTTTAATTGGCCCTGGATGCCAAAATGTTTGTAATCCAATCTGTGCTCCCAGCCCATCTCATATGCTCTTAGGTGAATAAAAGAGGCATTGGTATACAAAAGAGTAAGCTGCATGGACCAGGTAGCTTCTTTTTTTCTAGAAATTACTAAATTCTACCAAACTRTAGAAAAATCAACTCCTGAAATTTCACCTGGTGTTTGTGGAGTACATTGCTTCTCTCAGATAACATATTGTGGGCGTCTTACATCCGAGTCTGTATATTAGAATTTCCCAAAGAATGTGGGAACCGCTAGTTCCAAGTGAAAAGATGGATCTGTGATGAAATAAGTAGGATTCCTTTCTTCTGTACCTCTCAGAGGCTTTCTTTAGTAAGCAGTTATGCTTTGTCAGTCTTTAAAGAAGTATATTATGTTTGTTTTTTCCTAAAGTTATTTGACCACAGGACTTGGTTTTTCATGGATTATCTTTCTAAATCATTGAATCACACAGAATATGCTCTTAAAGATTGCCTTACATTAAAAGAAGTTGCTGTAATGTTACTCTGTGAAGCTGTTTGGTAGAAAGATTTTTTTTTTGGACCAGGTTGGGCACTGAAGAATCTCAAATTTTACATTTTGGGTGGTTATCTTTTCCTCATTAGCATTTGCTTACAAGAGTTTGGTTCTATGTTCATCTTTAAGGGCTCAATATTGCTCCTAGGATGTCAGTCAGATCCTGAATTTTCTGTATAATTGTCCTATCCTTGGGAAGTATCTTTGGCAGTTCCTTCCAAAAAATAATTTTTAAGTCACAGAAAATGTAATAGTGCTATTGTACATGATGTCACTTAAAAATGTTTGGCACAGATTATACATACTTGTTTTGAAATGAGAAAATAAAGGTAAGAAAAAATGAAGAAAATAAGAACAGCCTATAATATTACTGATAAGCAATTACTCATTATCTCTTTGATGGATTTACCCTTTCAGTCTTTTGTCTACATGTATACATACAAATCATACCACTCCACCTCCTGAACTAAAGAGAAATTGTATTGGCTTTGGGGGGGGGTATATTCTAGCCCCAGTGAAGAACATGTTTCTTGAATACTTTTGATCATTTTGAAGTAGGTAGGGTAAGAGAAAGGGTAAAATATTGAAGGGGTAACTGAAGATTTAAGTAATCCATTGTGTTATGGATAAATGTACCATGTCTTCCAACAGGTCCTCCATTGAGGCCAAGTGACAGTCTTTCCTGGCTATGTCAGTTTCCTGGGACTGCCATAATAATGTAGTACAAACTTGGTGGATTAAAATAATCGATATACTATTGCACCATTAAAATAATTTATCTACTATTGCACCATTCTGAAGGACTGAAATCAGCATCACTGGGCTACAGAAAGGTGCTGGCTGRACTGGTTCCTTTGGGCATTTTGGAGGGAGAAAGTGTTTCCTTGCCTTTTMCAGCTTCCAGAGACACCTGCATTGCTTGGATTATGATCCCTTTCTGTATAATATTAATTCTCCTTCCATCATCACATTTCTTACACTTGATCTTTAGCCTCCTTCTTGGGGACCCTTAAGATTACACTGAGCCCAGCTAGCTAATGCAGGATAATCTTCCCATTCCAAGACCCCTGATGTGGTCATATCCACAAAGTCCCTTTTACTATGTAAGGTGATTAGGACATGGACCTCTTCCAGAGGGCCATTTTCCAGTCATCTACATTGATGTTCTGTTGATTTTTAAAGACTCCAAGGTGAAAATTTGGTGTTCAAGTTCTGGAAGTCACAGTCTCTATGGACCATGAATTAATCTGGTGAATATGAGAGTTTGATCATGGCAGAAAGTCAACTACAGTCCACTGTGTCACCTGCCTTGGCTGACAGCTGCTCTCTGGGACTGACATAAAGGACTTTGGACATCTACTGCACTGAGGGGACAAGTGGGCATTCTTGGCATGGTTCAGAGTTAGGTCCCAAGGGCTGTTGTGTACTGTCCTTTCCATTCTGAATTTGAGAATTTAGCACTTCAGAGTGTTCCCTCCACATCCCTGCCTTGGCTGTGTGCCCCCTTTGAAGTTCTGTAGCAGTTGTTGTCTATAAATAAGGCATGCCCAGGGCCATCAAAGCGCTGAGATGAAGGGCATGGCTCGTTTACGAGAATATTGAAAGTGCAGGACAATGTTAGGGAGCGATCCTGGCTTCATCCTTCTTCCTCAACCTGTCCTCAATCCTCCCACCTTCAACTTGGTGTAAAAAATACATGAAGGCTCCAGAGAGAATAATCAAAGCTCTGTCACACTTGGCAGATTCTTTCTTGCTTCTCTTTAACAAGAAGGAAGAAAAAGAAACAAGCACTTGGATGAGAGCCCAGTAACCCTCGTCAGTTCAGACTTCTGGAACAGCAGTACCTCCTGGTCGTCTCCCTAGGAGGGAGCACTAATGATCACCCCATTTGCTGGGCTTACACTTGTCTTCTTATCTTTGCCTCTACTATRCTAGTTTATCTCATTTCATCCTGTTCACTACACACTGGAGTTGGGGTATAGGAATTTCTATTTTGCAGATGGGAAATAAGGGCTGCAGAGAGGTGAATCAGTGCTTTCCCCAAAACTTTCCTTTTAGGCCTACACAGAAATGATAATATTGGAACTTCATCCCAAGGTGAACTGATGGAGCTGCTCAAGGTGGAGATAAATGACCTTGGCCCCAGGTGCCACCTAGAAGTGGTGCTGAAAATGGTAAGACTTCTAGATACCTGTGAGCCAATCATGATTAAGCAGCTTGCCCAAAATTAAAAAAGTTAAGCTGTAGATTTGAAGTCATGTTTGTCTGCTACTTGAGTCCAGACTTTTTCTTTTCCCTCCCTCCCCCCTCCCCTCCTTCCCCTCCCTCTCTCTCTCTCTCTCTCTCTCTCTCTCTCTCTCTCTTCTTTCTTTCTTTCACTAGTCTCTCTGGAAACATCTCAAATTGAAATCATCATCTCACCTCTAAAGCATGACCTCTTCCCAGTTATTTTGTGTCAATCTTAGATTGGCTTCCCTAGAAACAGAGCCTGTGAAAGACAGTCTTGGGCAAGGTGTTAATTGAGGAAGTGGCCTAAGGAGATAATCTGTAAGAAGGAAAGGAAGCCAAGCAAACATGTGGTTTAGCGGAGTCTAACCTCAGACTGATCCCTTGGGGAGCTCTGGAGAGTGTGTGTTGTCATAGTTATCTCTCTTTGAGGCACGTAGTCTAGACTTTCCCACTTCACAACATCAGTGATTGGGGCTTCTTGGAGTGAAGGGTGTGATCTTCCACATTCTGAGAGAAGGTGGCTCCCAGAGCTGAGTCTCCAGAGTAGGAGTAGGTAACAACTAAGGAAGCCTCACTCACAGAAACTGGGAAAAGGGTGCAGCAGCCTGGTAAAGGGGATCTGAGCTGGGCATCAACGTCTCCACCCATGATCTCAGTCACCACACTGCCATTTACCCAGTTGCCCAAAATAGGAGCCTCACTCATCTTTGATGTCCCTTTATGCTACCTTATGTCATTGGCCAAGTTCTCATGATCTATACTAGAAATTCCTTTCCAATGTGTTCTCTCTCCTTGATGCCTCTGGATGTTGCTTGGGTTTATTATTATTATAATATTAGTATTAATATTATATTAGTATTAATATTTGGTCTTTTCCCCTGGACCATTCRACAAACCTCCTTGTTTCTCTTCTCCATCCATTTTTTCCATCCATCAATTCATACAGGCTCCAGAGTTATCCTTTGTGTTTGCTTCTATCATTGTACGGCCTAGAAACATGGATGGCTTTCCAAAGACTACAGGATAAAATCTTATTTTCATGGAATGGCCAAAAATGTTCTTTGTAAGTTGTTCTTTCCCACCTGGCTGTCAGTATTTCTCATTCTCCTGGTGCTATACAGTCACCTGAGGTGTTTATCCTGTCTCAGACACCTTCTAAGTTTTTGTTAGATTAATTGATAAATAAAGACTGGTGGTTTTGTATAGAAGTTTAATATTTTTGGATTAATATGGAGAAATTGTGTATTTCTGAAGGATTAGCACACTGACATTGGTTGTTCTTGTTTTAATTCCAGGTCTGAACCATGTTACCAGGGCATGAACTCTACTTTCGCTTACATTTCATTTGCTTTAACTTAGAATAATCTTGTGATTGCCTTATCTGATTAAGGTCGGTTTGTTTGCTTTATTTTTTAAATACTAGGAGGACAAGCATTTATCTCTAATGATCAAAATCTTTCCTTTTTTGAATCTGCCCAGGTTCTGCTCCCAACCCCACACTGAGCCCATTTAATTTGACTTATTTTGGGGACTCAAGTCAATATTCAGTGTCTACATTGAAAAGATATGGAGGAATCAATTATTTCTTAAGGTGATGTAACTGGTCTTTATAGGTAATAACAAATAATCATCTAGTTATTACTATTTTCCTATGATGCTGGTCAGGAGTTGGTGAGGCTGGTTGACGGATACTGGAAATAGAGCGCAAAGGAATAGTGAGATGCAGCCCAAAGGTGAGTGTGGGCCCAGGGGCGGGGAGKGGGGCAGCCAATGCACCATTATTCAGAAGTGAATGGGAAGGGTCCACACCAGTTCTCAGTTAGTGAATCTGCAACCAGAGACTGATAGACAATGAGAACAAGTTTTGAAGACTGAGGAGGGCAGCGTCTGAAACTCTAGATGAGAGGCCTTCAATCTTCAACTCGGGTTGAGAGGGAGCTGGATCAGATCAAATCATATTTTCTTTGGTAAGTGATCTGTTCTCCATATGTATCAACTTCTTATTTAGAAATGTGGTATAAGTTGATTTTATCCATAAAAATACAGATCTTCTGTTTCTATTTAYTCTACAGGTGTCTGTAAAGCTCATGGCAGTTCATCTACTGAATTTGACCCCAGAAATCTCAGATAACAGTATGGGGCTGTGGTTTGGGTCTCAAGACAGCGCCAATGAACTCTAATGTCTATAATCTTCAACGCTGTGTTACAAGTCTAGCTGATCCTTCTGCAGTTCTGCAGCTTTATTTTGCAGGCTTTCAATATGCAGCCTCAGTCATACTTTTGTATTTCTATTCCTGTCAAGAAAACATAGTCCTCTCTTCTCTCCCTCTATAGAAATCTCACACATCCTTCCATGTCTCCTTCAAATATCAGCTCCTGCAAAGACCTTCTTGATGATCTACAAGCAGTGACCACTACTTCCTCTGATTTTGTCATTTGTCCCCCTTCTATAACACTTCCCCTCTCCTGCTATATGTGGCTTTGTTTATAATTGTTGATTTTTTTCAACTAGACTGAAAGTTTCTTGAGGGCAGAGGTTACATAGTGACTTCCAAGTAATCGGTGTAGTATCCTAGGTGCCCAACCAATATTTGCTTTTTTGATTAATTGGATTACATTAAAATCAAATGTTCTCTGCCTCCACTCCACACCTCCATGGGCCCCAGAACATCCACAGAGTCTCCACCAACCAGACTGTCTGTGTGGGAGGTGGGATTCACAAGAAATAAACCAAAATGAGTTACGTAGAAAAATTTGATGAGATCACAAAAGATGAGTGGATGGAAGCTCAACAGCCTACATATCCAGCGGGTGGACATGAACTATGTGGTCACAGAGGGTTTTAAGGAAGCAGCAGAGAAGGGTTGCATGGAATCTGGAATTGAATTCAGTGTGGATCTGAAAACTCTTTATGAGGGAATCTAGAGATGATTCTGGAGGGTCAGATTCAGGAGGCCATGGTGTGGATCAACARCCTCCACCTGGAGTTCTTGGACATAAACCTGTACCCTTTACTTTCATCTGCATATTTGGAGTGAAGTTGACCAAGCTGTTCCAGATTATGAAAACCACCAGTCAACACTGCAGCTGATGAAATTACTGAAACTGCTACTTTGGGCTTAGAGTGAGATGGACCGAAATAAAATATCTCCTAAATGACAGAACTTAGCAAAGGTGTGAACAAGGAGCCCAAATAGAGCCTGTACAGGCCAACCCCTCTCAGTCCTGTTGCATGGGACTCACCTTCCGTCCTTGTGAAAGATTTTCATTGTAGTAGGAAATTTTTTCCCCTTGTACTTTATATATATATATTTATTTTGGGGGGCACTCAGCATCTTTCTTAAAAGGAAAATGTCCCTTTTAAGTGCTGGAAGGCTTACAGTGAAGAGCGCCCTCTGGGAAGGCTGGCTGGCTGGCTGTGCACGTGGCGTGTCATGAGGACCTGGACACAACCTGTCACTGTTAGGGTGTTCCTGTGCCTGGCTACCACAGGGTGCTGTGCTCCTAGGGCTGCTGGTTAAACCCAGGCCTCCCCTGGAGGGACTCGAAGAACACCCCCCATTCTTGCTTCTGCGAGCTTGTAGAAAGATACACAATACATTTGTTAATCTTCCTAAGTCTTATTGGGCCTTCCGTTTCAAGTTTTCCCTGGCTCCTTGTTTTCCATTTGTTTTTTTCTTCCATAGGAAAGAATGTACAAATTTGCAAATGCTAATTCAAAGATGCGTTTTGTGTGAGGCTAAAATAAAAAAAAATTAAATGTTCTCATTTTCCATGATCTGTTTCTTCTTTAAATGATAAACCAGTGCATTCAATTAATGATGACAAGGGGTGAATTGTGGGGTCAGTTCTTTAGAACCATGGTAGCATATGCTAATTATAGGATTGGTTCTTTAGGACCATTGCTAAGTGCATCTGTGCTGGGGTCTCTCTGGGGCTGAGGAAGAGAGGTGTCCTTCTAAGTCATCTATCTCCTCTACATTACATCTAAGGCTCCCAATGCATTGGTGCATGGGAGATGCATGTATCAGTTATGCTGCAATAACACATTGGGTCAATAATCCAGAGACTTGATCGCTAGACATGCGATGCTAAGCACTGTGACTTTTGAAGAGCTTCCTAATATTTCTTGGTGCCACAAGAAAGTGGCACCTCTAAAGTGGTACAACAACTTATGGGTCTGTATTAAGGATCACAAGTGTTAATATATCAAAAAAGAAAAGAAAAACTTAGAGAAAGCAAAACACCTTACAAAATCAAAAATCTCAACCATGTAATAATAAAATACTAATATCTGAGCACAGTGTTTCATTCATAATCAACATGACAGATGGCTTGGCATAATTTTACAATTTACAACTTTCCTAATTTATCTATCTATTCATTATTTTGCTGAGCATCTATATTGCATCATATAGAATATAGCAAAATTAAAAGGTTAATCTAATATATGGTGAGACTGGCCACCTGAGAAGGCTGTTTGGCCCTCATGTAGGTCCTTCCCAATGTTGAACTCTCCTGAGCCAATTGCCCAAGTTCATGACGAAGCCCAGTTCAGAAATCTGCTTTACCAGAATAACAAGAGAGATCTATGATTTATCTCTCTCTAGTGATCACCAAGTTCTAAAAAACTACTGTTTTCTTCCACTGCTCATTAGTTTGTGATCTGGGAGATCCTGGCTAGTGCATCTTTCCCTTAGAGCTGCATCTGAGAACCAGACTGTAATCAGGTATTGCTTAATGGTATGGGATCAGAAGTAACAATTAATTATTTGGTTTGAATATTCAAGGACATCCAGCTTATGGACCCAGTACAACCTCTCCATAAAAGGATGGCACACTTAAATGGTATCAGACTGTTTTGGTTCTCAAGCTCAAGGATATCCTTCTCTAGTGGGGTGGTCTTTTAACAGTGTGTAAAATAGATACTGGTAGAGCCTACCTGGTAGGGTAGGTGTGAAAAATAAATGAAAAGGTTAACATATAGGTCAGGAAAGGCTAGTAATTATTAACTATGTGCATTGAATATCTCATATGCRTATACCTGGTCACATTTATTCACTCATTCATCCAACAGACATTTACTGAGTATCTACTATGTGCTAGCTCCTGTGAGCAACATGGACACTTTTCCTGTGATGCTGGAGCCTATTCAGCTTCATTTAAATAACCCTGGGAGATGGATGATCTGATTTGGTACTGGTGGTAGTGGGGAAGTCTTTAAGATGTTGAGTATCTGACACATTTTTGTCCTTAACCTTCATTAACAACAGCCAAACAAGACATCGCTGCTTTTTTCTGAATTTTTTAATGATTTAAAAAATTTTATTTATTTTGCATTACAATTCTTAATACATCATTATACAGTAATTTATCATATCTCTGATTATATATAAGGTATGTTGACACCAAATTCACATCTTCATTTTTTTCTGATTTTAAGTGAGACAGATTCATACGATGGACAGGTAGACCCCATCTTTTAATGAAATAATGGACAAAGAATTTGTAGCCAGTTTTTAAAAACTATCACACCATTCAGCATCACAAACAGGCTATATGAATAGTTTGCTATGTTGTTTTAGTTTTATAGGAAATTTTGATCTGCCACTTGATGTTTTCATTATTTAAGTGTGAAGGCAATCTTGCTTCTAGAGTTTTAGCATTCCTTCACTTTTTGTTGCTTACATGTTCCACACATCAGATACTAGGGTCTGTGTTGTTTTATTAACTGTGCAACAGTTGCCAGAAAAGGGGCAAACATTTGGTTTTAGTATCTTTTTTGCTGCTGTGACTAAMAGATCCCATCAGAACAATTTTAGAGGAGAAAGAGTTTATTTGGGGCTCATGGTTTCAGACGTCTCAGTCCATAGAGAGCTGGCTTCATTCCTTGGGGCTCTAGGTAAGGCAGAACATCATGGTGGAGAATGTGGTAGAGGGAGCAGCTCACATGGTGACCAGGAAGCAAAGAGAGAGAGGCTCTACCCACCAGATACAAGATATCTACCTCAAAGCCACATCCCCAATGCCCATCTCCTCCAGTTATATCCTAACACCTTCAGTTACCACTCAGTTAATCCCCATTAGGGGATTAATTCAATGATTGGGTTAAGGCTCTCATAACCCAATAATTTCTCCTCTGAACCTTCTTGCATCATTTTATACATGAACTTTTGGGGAACAACTAACATCCAAACCATAACACATTTCTTCCGTTTTAAGATAATTTCTTTTAAGATATAAAATTGACAGTATAATAACATTCTGTTCCTAAAGCAAGTATTCTACTGGGCTRCAGAAATGTATGACTTCAATGTCACTCATAATTTTAAAACTAACTGTGAGATATACTTCCAAAATCTCAGTTGGGCTTCCAGACCTCAGACAGTAACATGGTATTAAAACTAGAAAAAAATTAATTGCTTTCGTGTTGTTGCTCCCTGCTGGTATGATTTATTTTAAATTCTTCTGAACCCAGAGAAAAGGAGCCATACTGTAATTCAGAAACTGACACATGTTGTTTTGCTCACATCTCTCACAGATGCTTCAAATTCAAAGAAAAGAAGAATTCTGTGGTTTGGGAAACACTGGCTATTGCAACATCCATTTTATCTGTTGTGGCAGGAATTAAGTTACTACACATAAGTGAATTCCGTGAGCAACTGAGGTCTACCAGCCTTGCGTGCCAAGTGTTTTAGCAAATGCTTATTTCTTTCTGGCATAAGATCTGTCTAAATATATCACACTTTTTATTTTTTTAWTTTTTTATAGAGGTAGGGTGATTCAACCATCATGGCTTGCCTGGGACTTTCCCTGTTTCAGCATTAAATGTCCCAAGTCCTGGGAAATCTCCTAGGCTTAAGCAAATTGGGACATCTGGTCAATTTACAGATAGATGTCAACTTGACTGCATGGCTTTCTGATGACCCTATGCCATTTGTATGAACTTGCTGTGTTGAGTATTGTAACCCAATGACACCCTCAGGATGACTGAGATATATGGTACCATATTGCCTCTGACTACCCAATGCTATAACAGCCAGGCAGCTCTGCTTGTCTGAGAGATGATACTCTCTACGTGCACGGACTTCATAAGCTTTCCCTCTGTGTTACCCAGTTTCCTTGTTGGACTTAAGGACTCTCATCAGGAGTGTGGAGGTCACTGCTGTTTGCCTTCTGGATAAGTGAGGTTGTTGTTATCAAAATACATTAATGAGCAAAAGGACTTAGGGYAGAGGTAATTTTCTTCTGAATAATTTACTTACTAAGAAAGAAAACTTGTCAAAGAAATCATGAAGGAAATATTTTGCCTATAGCTTAACYCTCTGGTAGAAAAGATTAATTTTTCATCCAAATTTGAGTCTATGTATTTATTATTCTTGAGAATTTAGTTTAATCAGAAATACAATATTACCCCAGAAGAAAGGAAATTACTTTAATTTGGCTTCTCCATGAAAAGGGGAGACCAGGAAACTTGAGGAAAAGAAAGAAGCATGAGCTGGGTCAGTTCTAGAGAGGTAAAAGGGGAATCTCCCGAGGAGGATTCTGATGACATAGTAAATGCAAGGGTTTACCTGCTGCGTGTCTCACAAGAGATGTACCTKCAGAGCAGAAAGAGCTTTCTCCAGAGTCCTCTTGCCCAGGGAAGTTCTTACTTGGAAGGGCCGTGTTAGTGTCCTGCTGTCTTGATGACCTACTTGCTTTCTACAGAAATAAGTGTACAACTTGCAGAGAATGAAATACAAGAAAAATGAGAGAGCAGGAGAAATGAAAGTGCATGGAACATACTTAGTTTGATTCGCTATCCCTGTCCACTCTACAGTGCTTTTTCTCAAATGAATCCATGATTCCATTTTATTGTGTGTTGACTCAAAATAAGGTACAATGCAATATATTTTGGGGTCAAGGAGAAATAAAGATAATTCTTTTCCTTAAGAAATACACCTCTGCTCCATGTATGTATAATATGTCGAAATACACTCTATTGTCATGTATAACCAAAAAGAACAAACAAAAAACAGCAATGTACATCTGAACTTGAAAATATTGTGTTAAGTGAAATAAGTCAAACTTGGAAAGTAAAGGATCATATCATTCCTCTTATATATGGAAGCTAGGGAGGAAAAAGGAAAAGAAAGGTGTATSTGTGGGATCTCATGAAAATTGAGGAAAGGAACCAGACAGAGAGAAGAGGGAAGGGAAAAGAGAAATAATGGGGACTKATATTGACTAAATTACATTATTATATCATGTACATGTACATATATGCAACAATGAATTTCATC